GGGGGGGGTGCCCAGCTTGTGGTGCTGCGCTCCGAGTCTCCTGGCACTGAGGAAGAAGGGGGCCTGAGCTGTTGCTGCTCCTCCAGCGTGGTGCAGCTTCACCTGCTGGCTCCCGCGGGTTAAGCACTGGACTGCTAACTGAAGGCTAGCCCAGCAGCCGCTCCAGGGAAGCTGGGTAAGGTCATCTGCCTCTGAAGACGGACAGACAGGCGAGAGAGCACTTCCACTCTGAGTCAGAATGGACTCGGAGTGTGGATTTGGGTGTAGGACCTCGAAATTCTTAGGTTCTTAGAGTAGAGCAACTGCCTTCTGTCTCCACCATTGAAGGCTACTATGATTGTCCGGTCTCTGGGAGGGCTGCATGGCGCAGTCAGCCACCATTCTTCCTTGTAACTTGACAGGTGAAGATTGATGCGCTAGAAGCACACAGAGGCCGGAGGGTCAAGGTGTTTGGCTGGGTCCACAGGCTGCGGAGGCAAGGTGAGCACTCCGCACTGCTGCTTTTCTCTTCCCTTGTGAGTTCCCCTGACCTTAGGTGAGGAGCCCGGTTGCGCAGTGGTTACACGTTGAACTGCAATCTGCAAGATTCATAGTTCAAGACTACCAGCCACCACTCTGGAGAAAGATGGAGCTTTCTACTCCCCTAAACAGTTACAGTCTTGAAACTCACAGGGGCAGGCAGTTCTACCTGCTCTACAAGGGTCACTGTGAGTTATCATTGATTCTTGGCTGTCTTAGGTGAGGCACCATGATGGCACTGGTGGGTAAATATAGGGCTGCTAACCACCAAATCAGTAGTTTAAATCAAACCCACTGTGGGAGAGAGATGATGCTGCCTGCTCCCATAAAGATTCTTGGAAAAACCCCTATGTAGGGTCAAATGAACTTGATGGCAGTGGGGGTTTGGCCTTATATAAAAATAAAACATTAAGAGCTTTTTTTATATGTTGGCTTTTGAAAAGCTATAGTAGTATATATTCTGAACATATTCTTTGTTTGTGGTATGGCTATTGAAGAATGATTTAAATGCAAGCAACCAGTCATCCAGAGGTGCCCAGAAAAGAGCTGTGAAGCCAAACTTACTGACTGCCAGGCAGAGGCTGTGTTAGAGGAAGCTCAGCCCCAAAGCCTGGCGGTGGTTTTAACTCCTCGTTAGCGTATTTGCATCCCACCCCTCCCTTCTGTAATCCTGACTTTTGCTCTCTCTCTTTCATTCTTTGTGTTTTTGATTGTCATTATCAAATCCCAATTAGAATGAAGGTGATTGAGACAGTGGGTGGATGTGTTGCCCCCTATGTGCCCCTCCCACTCATTTTTTTTAAAAAAGTACTGAGAAAGGGCTGTGTAATTGGCTGAATGTCTGTCTCTCTTTCAGGAAAGAACTTGATGTTTCTGGTGCTGCGGGACGGCTCAGGCTTCCTCCAGTGCATCCTGTCAGACGAGCTGGTAAACAGTCCCGCCCCTTGAAGAGGGCTTCTGGTGGACGCCTTCACTGCGGGGCTGGGGAAGTCTAGGGCTAAAGAACTACGGGATATCCCAACACATTAAAAAAGAAAATGGGGGGGGGGGTTCTTATAATGGTCTGAAGAGACTTGACATGCCTGTCCCCCACCTTCATAATTATCATTCTGAGGCTAGTCCTGGCTCCCCACAGTGCACTGTCTGTCTCGCCTGATCTCTCTGCATTTCTAAGAAAAGATTTACTTTCTTTTTTCCATTTTATTAGGAGCTCTACAGATAACAATTCATAGTTCAATTAGGTCAAGCATGACTGTACAATTGTTGCCGCCATCATTTTCAAAATATTTCTTTTTGCACTCTGCATCAGCTCCCCTTTATCCCCACCCTGTCTCCTGAGAACCCATGTTATTAGATTAAGTATTGTTGTTACTCATCCCCCATAGCTTACACCATCCAGTGTGTGTTCACCTGCCATTCTGTCTGTTCCCCTCGAGTGGGGTTAGATAGTCATCATTGCTGTTACTTTCCCCTTCCCCCCAGAAAGCTGATTGCTAATGTAACTGCACCTGCATTAGACACAGACACGCACACCTTCTGCCAACCCCACAGTGCCTCCGGGCTCGTAGTCAGTCCAGTCCGATTCTCAGGGGACTTCATGCACGTCCTTTGCCAGCTGGTTGGTGTGAATGGGAGTCCAAACCAGTGCCCACGCTGTGCATCGCCAATATGTCTCTGGAATCCTGCTTCTTTTTCCTTCCTTAGGATTTTATTTGTCTTGGGGGGTGGGGGTGGGGGTGGGCGGGGAGGCGAAGAACCTGATCACCTGTCCTGTGAACACTCGTGTTCTTGATTTTGTTGATCACGCCTTGCGGGTCACTTAACACAGTCCTCTGTCTAGCCCCTCTTTCTTAGGATTCTGTTCTGTTTAGCTCTTGTTTGTTTGTGGGGGGACAATGCTTCTGGGGTGTCGATACTCCCAACCCAATCACATTGAGAAACAGCCTTTTCCTGTTTTAATGGGTAGAGGGATCAGTGTTGGCAAGGGTGATTGCTCCAGTACAGAGCTCCCGGCACCTGCCGATGGTCTTAGCAGCTGCTGATGAGTATGCTCTGGGTGGCCGCTCTCTTATTTTTAAAAGACAAGTGAACTGTCCAGATATTTTTGAGCAATGTGGGTTAGGGTCTTTTGTGCCTATACATAGATGGGAAATGCATTTATGTTTACAAGTCTATTTATTGAGAGAAATTTGGCTCCCATAGTAGACTGGTTACTAGCACAACTTGCTGGCTCTCTACTTAACTTCATCAGTATTGGGCCCGACAGCCGGTTCGTAATTCAGCCCTTCGCTTTAAAGGCAGTTACAGTATGTCAGTGTCGATGTGACTGACTGGACTTGTCTTCTGTAGTGTCAGTGCTACAACGGGATGGTCTTATCCACCGAGAGCAGTGTCGCAGTGTATGGAATGCTCAACCTTACCCCAGAGGGCAAGCAGGTGAGTGCTGTTTGTGTCTTCCAACTGTCTGTCAGAGCTTTTTGGGCGTGGCATATGCATTAAAAAAATATGCTATACTTGCTAAGGCTTGTGTGCCTTTTCCGACAAAACGTGCACACCAGCCCCTACACAACTCCTGAGAGAAGAACCCAGGGCTCTCCAGGCAAGCCCCACGGGAGCCACTGAGTGTGGGGTGTGAACACCTTTTCAGCTAGGTGGGTGTGGAAGCAATAGTCCTCTCAAAAATACTTCTGGGAAGAGCGATAATCCAACCCAGACACTTTGACCAGAGTTTGGAAGCTGCTTTTGAATAAAACTCTACATAGAGCTCCCCTGGTAACAGTTGCTTGGCCCGAACCAATTAGGGTTCCTTGTTGGTAGTTCTGTAAGAATGGCTGTGGCAATGCTGTTTGGGAAAGAAATAATGAGTTTTCCCACCAGGGGGAGCCCACAGCATCCTAGTAGTCCACAAGTGATTGTCAAAAGGTCTCCTTCCACTCACGTAAAATGCTCTGTACCAAGAATGAATAGCTGAGGTCAAGTTCACGGGACTTTCCTTGGTAGTAATGTGATTGTGAAGTGGAATGAATTGCTTCCCTAATTTGTGGCTTTTCTTCTGAATCGTTTATAGTAGAAATTATTGGGAACCCTGGTGGTTAGTAGTTACTCTTTGGTCAGGGATCCTCAGGGTTAGCAGTTCAAAACTACCAGCTGTTCCTTGGAGAAGGATGGGGCTTTCTACTCCCATAAACAGTTGTGGGAGTAGAAACTCACAGGGTCACTAGGAGTTGTCCTTGACTCGATGGCAGTGAGTGCAGATTTATTAGGGAGAGAGTTTTGAGTTCTTACCCTGTATGTTGCGAAGAGATACATCTCTTAGTACATCCTTAGCATTTCCCCTTCCCTTCCACTGGGGGGAGGTTTATTTCAGGATCAGACAAAGCCTGAAAAGGTGTGAATCTTTTTAGTAGTTCATTATTTCAGGTTGAAAGGTATCGATTTTCTCACCTGGTATGTGTGTGTGTTCAGTGTTACATGTGTGTCTTGGGAGCCCTGATGGCATAGTGGGTTACAAGTGGGGCTGCCGATTTTGAGGTTAACAGTTCAAAACCACCGGGCACTCCTCAGGGAGAAGATGAGGCTTTCCACTCCTGTAAAGAGTCGCATCTTGGAAACCGAAAGGGACAGTTTTGCCCTGCCCCATAGGGCCACGACGAGTTAGAAATGACTTGATAGTGTGAGTTGGCTCAGGAGAAAGATAGACTTTCTGCTCCATAAAGAGTTACAGTCCGGTCAGCTTTAGCTCTAGCGGTTACTTCACATTTGCTCAACACAAGAGTGACAGTTGTGGAAACCCGCAGGGACAGCTCTCCCCTGCCCTCTGGAATTGCTGTGAGTTGGAATTGACTCAGTGGCAGTGAGTTTTGAGTTTTTGAATGTGCGTCTGAACGAAATGTTAGGTCAAAAAATGATAGAATGACGGGGCTCTTAGAAATAACAGCTTTCAAAAATATGGACACAGGTGGAAATCTTCAGTAGTTATTTTTTTGTTATTCTTCACCCCATCCCCCCCTGCTCTTTCCCCTTTTCAACACCTAGGCTCCAGGGGGCCATGAGCTGAGCTGCGACTTCTGGGAGCTGATTGGCTTGGCCCCTGCGGGAGGGGCGGATAACCTGATCAACGAGGAGTCGGACGTCGACGTCCAGCTGAACAACAGACACATGATGCTGCGCGGAGAGACCATGTCCAGGATCATGAAGGCCCGCTCCATGGTTACCAGGTGCTTCCGAGAGCACTTCTTCGACAGGGGCTACTGCGAGGTGAGCGGGCGGGCTCCGTCTCTTGCAGGTGCAGCGTTGAGAAGACCCTGGCAGCTCTTGGTGGGCATGTGTTCATACCTGCTTCCCTTTGAACAGGTTACACCCCCGACGCTGGTGCAGACGCAGGTGGAAGGGGGCTCCACGCTTTTCAAGCTGGACTACTTTGGAGAAATGGCCTTTCTGACCCAGTCCTCCCAGCTCTACTTGGAGACCTGCCTCCCGGCTCTCGGAGACGTGTTCTGCATCGCACAGTCCTACAGGGCCGAGCAGTCCAGGACCCGGAGGCACCTGGCCGAGTACGGGCTCATTCATTACCCATTTATCCACCCACCCATTCCTGGTCTTTGAGAAAACGTCATTACAGGTAGAATCTGTGTAGTTGAAAGGTCTCCACAGTAAGACTCCTGGGACAAGAAGGCAGTGGGCTACAAGAGTGTGAGTGTGGTTAGAAGTTGTGCCTTGGGGTCCATAGCCGAGCACAGTTGTCTCGGGTTATCTCGAGGCTCTCTGTGCCCATAAGGAGTTCCTTCTCGGGAACCCGCACGGGCTGTTGCTCCCTGTCCCATAGGATTGTGGCGAGTCTACCTCGACTCTGGCAATGAGCTTGGCTTGGGTTTGAGCATTCATGTGTTCAGGAGCAAAGAGGAAGAACGGGGCCTCAGTTGGGCGTTGGTTAGCCGCGATGCAACTTGCCTCTCGAAGGTTCAGGAAGCATTCCTGAGCGGTGTTTTGTCCTCAGGTACACCCACGTGGAAGCCGAGTGCCCGTTCCTGACCTATGAGGAACTTCTGGACCGATTGGAGGACTTGGTGTGCGACGTGGTGGACAGGGTCCTGAAGTCTCCTGTGGCGAGCGTTGTGTTTGACCTCAACCCGGTAGGTGGGTTGCACGGGGCACGATATTTTGAAGAGAAAACTTGGTATTCCTTGTCCCTAGCCTCGTGGGATCTTAGCATAGAGGTGACGAGCAGGGCCTGCGTGGTGTGTGGTCGTCTGGTACCCCACGTCCTTGATAGTCGCGAGAAGCTCGTTCTGCAAACAGTGTGTTCCTGTTAATGGCTTCTCCTCACCTGCTGCTTCTCCTTTCTCTGAAGAACTTCAAGCCCCCCAAGCGGCCCTTTAAGCGGATGAACTATTCCGATGCCATCGTGTGGCTGAAGGAGCACAACATCAAGAAGGAGGACGGCACTTTCTATGAATTTGGAGAAGTATGCCTTCCCGTTGAGTCCCTGTGCACTGCCCGCTCTAACCCCTCCGTGATAGGTGGTCAGTACTCAGGGACGGACAGAGCGCCGCATCTCTCCCTCCTTCCCTCCGTCTCAGGGACCCGTGGGCTCACACAGCCAGGGTGCTGCTGCTCATGAGTAGATCCCTCCTGTGGGAGGCACCGCTTGTCGCCAGACTAGTACTACTGGCTACCTGCTTTTGGGGTCGTCTGAGGGACCTGTGGGTACGTGGGTGTGGATGGAGCGTCAGCTTTTCCCAGGGCCACCCATTGTCGCCGGCCTCTCCTCCCCTTCCCTTCCCAGTGTGGCCTCAGCTGCAGAGCTCTGCCGCGAGTTTTCAAGGTCAGCACGGGTGCTGTGGAAGGTTGTCACCTCTTTGAAATTACACGCAAAGTGTTGGTCTGAGCTCAGGCTTCTTTTGTGCTGTGTACATTACACTTCCATTTCATGACCTCATATCACGGTAGCTAGTGATCAGATTTTGTGCTGGAAGTTTATATGAAGTTAGTGCCTAACACTTGTCGCAGTTGCAGGACTGGGGGGAAAGAAAGTCAGAAGGCCTTGGGTGGGATTAGATCCCGTCTCCTTTCGGACAGTCAGTGGCCCCAGCCTCTGCTTCCTTCACTCTGCCTTGGAGGATGCGCCTACCTGCAAGGCTGCGAGCGTTAGGTGAGCCGAGTCCCCAGCAGGGTCCCTGGCACGGGAAACCTTCATGCGGGCCAGCCTGCACTCACCCCGGTGCCACCCTCTGCCTCTGCCCCAAGGAAATCGGAGGTCTTCAGCCTTCTTTGCAAGGTCTTGCCCCAGTTGAGATCGTGGGCAGCATGTGCAGAAGGTAAAGCAGCAGGTCCCAGCCAAGAGCCCAGAGCCTCCCCTGCTTGGCTCTTGCCCCCTCAGGTCTGGAGCACGGGGCTCTGGGGCACCTGTGCCAGACAATGGCCTCTGAGGCCCAGGGCCCCTCTTACCCCTATCCCTGAGTCCTGTGCACCTCTCCCAAGCAGGGTCTTTTGGGAGAAGAACCAATGAACTCCAGTCCTCGTCTTTGGAAGCGGTCACACTTCCACATGTGACGTTGGTGATTGGTCGTCCTGTAACAGGAAAGAAGGAGAGCAGAAAGACAGTGCTGTTAGCCACAGACTGTTACCCTCAGCACTGCTCTGAGGCAGCATTCCCTGTCACCAGCTTCATTAACAACATAAAGCCACTTCCCCTTCAGGGCTAGAAAAGACTGGCCATAGGAAGAGAGAGCCAAGCAGTGGCCAGGGGTGAGGATAACTGACTGGGTTTCCTTTCTCAAGCAGAGCAGTGCTGAGCAGGTCCTGTTGGGGGAGGGAGGACTGCTTCCAGTCCAGTGTCGGGGGTTGGATGCTTTTTGAGACACATGGTTCCTGTGCGTTCAGTGTGGGCAAGGGGTGGGGGTGTTCTCTGTTGGAGTAAAGAGACGGGGGCCACTCTCGAACAACCCAGCAGCTCGGGTAGTGCTTTCTGGAGCTGTGCATACTCAGGAAGGCCTGTCTGCCCTCAGGATATCCCAGAAGCTCCAGAGAGACTGATGACAGACACCATCAATGAGCCGATCCTGCTGTGCCGCTTTCCCGTGAACATCAAGTCCTTCTACATGCAGCGTTGCCCTGAGGACCCTCGCCTGACCGAATCGGTCTGTCATGCAGAGAGTGTCCCTGGGTTTCCTTCTGAGTGGGTGGGCACTGCCACTGGGAACAAGATAGACTGTGTGACACAGGTTCATGCTACATCGAAAATGACAGTGTTTGCCTGGGTTTTTCCCTCCTCGTGATGTGGCGGGGTGGGAGGGTAGGGGCAAGATCACGTGGTTGGGTGAAATCACAGAAGTTAAGCCCTAGTCGAGTCTAGACAGCTCCCAGTGCTGCTTCCTGTGGCACTAGGCAGCGCCCCTTGCAGGCAGGGCTGGGCTGGAGAGCCTGGGAGTAACTGCAGTTTCTGTCACTCCTCGAAGGTCGACGTGCTGATGCCTAACGTGGGCGAGATTGTGGGGGGCTCCATGCGCATCTGGGACAGTGAGGAGATCCTGGCCGGCTACAAGCGCGAAGGGATTGACCCCACCCCCTACTACTGGTACACAGACCAGGTGACAGCCGTTTGTATTGCTACAGGCGCTTCTTCCCTACAGTCATCCTGTGTGAATCGACCTTCTTTAAAGGAGAGTTCAGGCACCTTGGCATTTGCGAGAGGAGCGGGCCTTGGTGGCTATGGAACCAGCCTCCCGCCCCTCCACAGGAGGCAGACCAGGGACCCCGCAGGCCCAGCTTACCCTGTCCTGTAGGGTCACCATGAGTCTGGGGCAGTGAGGGTTTTGAGTTTAGCACTTAATAGGATGTCCCCAGTTGGAGGGCCATAACCACATTCCCAGGAATGCTGGGCCTGCCCGACTCTAATGTTAGCCCCACTGAGAACGTGTCGAACCGGGGCTGCTGGGTTTCAGACTAATATGCCACCTCCTGTCGTTGGCTCTTGTTACGGAGTGCAGTGGTTCCTTTTCTACTGAGACCCAGTTTAAGAATTTGAGACCTTCTCTCCTGGGTGGTACATGGGTCAGGGTTTCTTTCTCACTGTTGGTCCATGAAGGGTTAGGGTGGATTCAGGGTGGACTTGTTTAATCAGGGTGAGCTGATCCCTTCCACAGGAGAAAATGTTAAACTCAAATTTACCCCTCTTCCTTTTAAACAGAGGAAGTATGGCACGTGTCCGCACGGAGGGTATGGCTTGGGCTTGGAACGATTCTTAACTTGGATTCTGAATCGGTACCACATCCGAGATGTGTGCTTATACCCTCGATTCGTCCAGCGCTGCAAGCCGTAACCAGTTCCTTCCGAAGCCTGAGAGGAGAAGACGGCTACGAAGGAGCAAGACGGTCTCTTTTAAAAAAGAAAGGCAAAATCTCCTTTTTCCATTCATTGGCGTGTCAGCTCTATTTCCTCCTTAAAGCCAAAATCTTCCTTTTTTGATTCGTTGGCGTCTCAGCTCTATTTCCTTCTTAAGTCGATGGCTGCTACAATCAAAAAGTCAGTGCGATTCACTTGCCTGGATACCAAGTGACATTTCTCTTGTCATGTTCAGAAAACTAACACCTCCCCCCAGAGAGCATTTAGATGGGATAATGGCCTGTAACTGTCATGAGAAGGCCTGTCGCAGTATGTTGGTGCCCAGTTGTCCATCGTCCATTCAGAGCCGTGCCTGCCAGTTAAAAAGTATGCTCTGAGAAAAAGCAGTGACGTGGGTTTCTGTCCTGTCCTTGTACTCTCTCGAGTGAAAACCAGCCTCATGGGGGGAAGCTGGCAGTTTGGTCCAGGGGGTTGTCGGTTTCCAAGCAGGGTCTAATTCAGCAGTGGACACAGGGATCAAATGCCAATAGTCGATTGCATCCGTCAGGAATCTTGGTGAATGTGTCAGGCCGCTACTAATTGTGAAGCATATAGATTGATAGGGTGAATTTGTAAAGGCGGAAATGTTTTGAAGAATGTGCCATGAGATCAGTTTTGGTGAAGTAAGTAATGGAATAAGGTCATATATATATGAGTATATGTTCTCTTGTATATTTTCTGATAGTTATAATGACCAACAGACAGCGTCCAAGCCGGAGAGGCAGCTGGCCTCCTGGTGGTTCAAAGTATAAGAGCTTGAATAGAACCCTCGCGGGAATTGTCTTCGCGGCCCTGCCCTCTCACAAATAGCAGGTTTAGGGAATGGCTTCCTTTCAGATGTAAGGTTACCTGCTCCTCAAATATGCTTATCATGTACTCCTACTAGACTGTTGCCAGCAGTCAGTAAATGGACACCCAGAATTAACACTTTGCTGGATAATTTTTCTTTTTCATAACGTGCACATCCATGTAATCAGAGTTAAACTTGCTGAGTAGTGCTAAAATTATATAATGGCAATGAAATGGAATCCTTGTCCCATGTTTTTTCTTGTCATTTTTACGTTCTTCGTAGCCGCATTAGATTGTGGCGTGAAGCGTGCGCGTGGTTCATGCAGTGGAAACAAGGGGTGTGGGGTCTGTCAGGCTGCTCTGTGATTGTGCCTAAGCTCGCATTGGAGGCCAGTGATGAGAACTTAAGTCAGGGGCTGGACACAATCGGCTTGAATCTTAATTGGACCTGGAGTTTTAAAACACCCAATGAGAGCCCCGGGAAGAAGAGAATTGATCAGTGTCGCGGTGGGGAGGATGTAGACCTGCCATATGGTGCTCGTGCCTCTTATCCAGAGTCCTTTACCCTATTTCTAGATAAATCAAAGGAGCGAGTCATTTTATTGAGTCTTTCAAATCTCCATGTATACATGACTCCCTAAAATAGGAGAGCTCTACCCATTTGTTGTTGCTACAAGGTGAAGCATACATGGATCAAGCCAAACTGCAACAAGAAAGCAAGCAGTTGAACAACAGGTTTATGCTGCTTAATGTCTGTTCAGACAGCATCAGACAAGACATGTCCGTGGTCTCATGAGGGCTGTTTCTCCCCTCGGCAGCTGGAATGAACCCGGGGCATGCAGAGCTGGGTGGGTGGACAGGAGCCCTTCACTCTGGCCCCTTAGCCAGGCCTGTGTCCCCTTGCCCTGCCTCCTTCCGGATGGTTCTGGATGAATGTCCTGCAGTGGAGGATCTGGCCACAGGTGCAGGTGAAAGCCTCTCCGAGGGCCTTCACAGGGGCTGGAAGTGGAGGGGCCTCAGCAGGCCTGAGCACACGTGGACATCTTGCCCATGGACACACAGATGCCAGGTGATGCTCCGTAGGGTCAGCTTGGGCTCTCAGCTGTGGGCACCAGTGCTTCAGGCTGACGCTCTTGCCACATGCCTCAGAGGGTGCCTCTACACTATGAGGACTGCCTTGCTGGTCCCCAACAGCCCAAGGGGGAGGGGCCAACAGTGCTCATCCTCGGGGGGTGGGGGGGTGCTGTGCCCATGCTGAAGGACATGGCAGGAGAGAGCCACGGACTTCAGACATGTGATTCAGATGTGCAGACACCATATAATAGGGGGCTCCCGGAATGTCCAATTCACGTGACATCCTGTCTCAGAGGGTCTGGTGGATGGTGAAGGGACACATGCTTGGACATAAACCTCACACCTGGATCAGTACATGGCATCGTACGTTTTCAAGGGTTACATCTTGCGTGGATTTACAATCAATGCTCGTGGAAGCAGCAGTCGAGATCAAATGCATTGTGTTATGTGAATCTGCTGTACAAGACTCCTTAGTGTTGAAAAGCAAGGGCTTACTGAGGACGAAGGTGCGCCTGACCTGAGCCATGCCATTTTCAGAGGCGTCCTGTGCATGTGGATGTGGGACATTGAATAAGGGGGCTCTAAGAACAACATGGGCAGTCATCTGCATCTCAAACCAGCCCTCCTGCTCACGTGCTTCTCGGCACCACCAAGGCTGGAGAGCAAGGAGCTCTTTGGTCCCCACTCCCTGCTCCATTTCTCCACTGCTCCTTTCTCTTCCTCTTGTCACGCCCCCATGCCTGTTATTGTGGGCAGGAGCAGGGAGAGCTCCTGCCCTCTGCACTGTAGCTCACACACCACTCACTAAATTGCTTTCCTCAAAGCACAGCCGTGAACAACTGCCTGGTCTCAATGACTGTCATCAATGAGCCCCATCAGCCTGCAAAGTCCCCAGGCCTTAGGACATTCAAGTTCCTCCACCAACCAGGCTCCCAGCTCTCGGCGCTTCACGTGTGCTGAAGGGTGGCCAACGGCAGTGGGTCTTTAGGTTTACCGGTCTAGCTCTGTGCCTGCCCACATTCAGGACGCTCCAGCCCGACTGTCAGTTCTAATACCCCCTCCATGAAAAGACATCCCTTCATCCTCCTTTTAATCACCTCTTGCCCCATAATTACACAGCTTTATGTAGCTGGCTAAATGTAATATCCTGGCCCTGCCCCCGACCCAAACCCAGCTGAGTGACAGGAAATCTAGGCCTCAGGATGTTGGGGTGGGGCGGTGGAGTGGAGAGCTCAAGGATAGATCTGTGCTCCTGGGCAAGAGAGGTAGGAGGGAAATCTGAAACCAGATAAAGATGATTAACATTTGTATAAGTTTATTGAAGTACAACATTTCGGCCTAAGAATGTAGCTCCTAAAACAATGATAATCTATCTGAAAGACCATGCATTTTCACAAAATGATCTATGGGACCATCTGTAAAGTGCCCATGTGGGGACAGGGTGAAGGGACCTGGGACCAGGTCACTGAAGTAAGTGGTTCTTCTATCAAAAGATGCAGAAAGTTAGCATCTTGCTCATCTGGACTTGCCATCCAGAGAAGCATCCAACCCCCAGGCAATGTTTGCTTTGGAGAGACTTTCTGTTAGCAGCTGAACCAACAGGGATGCCTGCCGCCTTCCACGTGCTCCAGCACCCGTGGGCCCTCTGCACCCCTCAGACCTTGGTCAGTGTGCCTTCTGGCCAGAGGCTAAGTCTGACTGCTTTCCTTCCTGAGCCTTGGCTGTCTGGATACTATGCCCTGTGCATAAATCTTGCCGACTTCCTGTCTTGCCTGCTAAGCTGGGGGTAGAGACTGGTCAGCCCCGTGTGGCCTCTCAGGAACACTTGTTTGAAAACACGAATAAGCTGCTTGGGAGAAAGACCTGTTGTCCATTTACTGTGTCTGGCCCTCTTCAAAGTGACCGTTCAGAAGACGTACGGATGGACTCAGACGCCTGTCACCTGTCCTCTCGGTGGTGGAGCAGGACGAGTCAAAGGGTGTGTCGTGCTGGTGGGAACAACCGACCCAGTTTCTCCTAGCAATCATTCCAGTTCATCCCTTCTGACACATGGCCACTGAAAAACCCCGCCACCCCTGCTCTACTCTCCCTGATGGAGTCAGAGTTGCGTAATCTACATTTGCTTTGTGTAGCTCCACGGTGCCAATCATGGCAAATAATGAAGCAGGAGATCCCCCGGCCTCCCTCCTTTCCTGGGCACTGAGCTGAAACCAACAAGTTCATTTTATTTAGAACCGCAGCCTGGACTCGGGGAATGTGTCCGTGACCGGTGAGCTTTCTGGCCGCTAATTAAGTTACCTAGACAAGCCCTCTCTTCCTTGCCCGAGAGCTGCTGCTTCTCTGTGCCCCTCCAAACAGGTGCCTGGAGGCTACTGTTTGCCCCAGGAATCGGCTGAAAAGACTTCAGCCAGAAAAGAAGAGAGGCGTCTGTATAAATCTCATCTCCAAAAACACGGCCTTCAAGTCAGTCCATTCTGACTCACAGCCTGATAGGACCGAGAACAAGCGCCCCTGGGGGTTCCCCAGGCTGCACATTTTTACAGAAGCAAGAAGCCTCATCTTTCCCCTGAGGACCGGCTGGTGGTTTCCAACTGTCGACTTTGTGGTCAGCAGCCACCCTAGAGCGTTTTGGATTTTCTTGGTAGGTCTGTGTGCCGTTGCTGTCCTTCAGGTGCCTTGGAGTCTATCCAACTGACAGTGACCCCCTGGGACAGGGCAGAACTGCCCCAGAGGATTTTTCTAGGCTGTGCTCTTTCCAGAGCAATCTGGGTGGTGAAGTGCTCGGCGTCAGGGGTCCAAACCCACCTGCAGCTCTGGGAGAGACAGATGTGGCAGGAGGTTTCTATAAAGATTCCAGCCTTGGCAACTGTCCTACAGGGTTCTGAATCAGAATCGACTTGACAGTGAGCGGTTTGTGTTACGGGGTTTCTTTCTCCCTGTTTTGCAGTGTTTTCAGGGAAGACCACCAGGTCTTTCTCCCAAGGAGCCCTGGGTGGTTTCCAACCACCAACCTTTTGCTTAGCAGCCAAGTGCCTCACCATTGTGCCCCCCGAGTGCCTTAGCCTCTAGTTGTTAGGTGCCGTTGAGTCGGTTCTCGTTCATAGCGACCCTGTACAACAGAATGAAACACCTCCCAGTCCTGCGCCGTCCTCACAATGGCTCTTAGGTCTGAGCCCATTGCTGCAGCCACGGTGTCCGTCCATCGTGTCAAGGGCCTTCCTCTTTTTCACTGACCCTCTCTTTTACCAAGCGTGATGTCTCTCCTGCTAACACGCCCAAAGTACATGAGACAAAGTCTCCCCGTCCTGGTCTCCAAGGAGCATCCTGACTGTACTAGGACAAATTTATGTATTCTTTCCACAGTCTGAGAAAGTCCACTTTCAATATTCCTTGCCAGCATCGTCATTCGAATGCATCCATTCTTCAGGCTTCCTTACTCCACTTTCACATGCATATAAAGCCATTGAAAGTGCCTTAACTGGGGGGGGGCCTTAGTCCTCAAAGGACCAGCCTTGCTTTTCAAACTCTAAAGAGGTCTTGTGCAGTGGATTTACATATGCAATGTGTTGCTTGATCTCTTGACTGCTGCTTCCACGAGCATTATTGTGGATCCAAGCAAGATGAAATCTTGGGCAACTTCAGTCTTTTCTCCGCCTATCACGATGTTATCCACTGGCCCATTTGTGTGAGTTTTGGTCTTGTGTACATTGAGTTGTAATCCATACTTGGCAAGCTGCAGTTCTTCATCAGCAAGTGTCTCAAGTCCTCCTCACTTTGAGCAACAAGGTTGTGTCATCTGCACATCGCAGGTACCGCAGCCTCTGGTGGTGGTTGTTAGGGTAATAAGCCTTCCTCCAATCCATATGGCACGTTCTTCATATAGTCCAGCTTCTCTAATTATTTGCTCAGGATACAGATTGGATTCGTGAGAAGCTACAACGCTGATGCACACCTTTCCTGATTTTAAACCATATGGTCTCCCCTGGCTCTGTTAGCACAACTTCTCTGGCTAGATGCATAGATTTTACATGAGCACGATGCAGTGTTCTGGAATTCTCGTTTTTCTCCAGTCTGTCCATAGTTTATTGTGGTTCACACAGTCAAATGCCTTTGCATAGCCAATGGGACACAAGTAAACATCTCTCTGGTTTTCTCTGCTTTCAGC